ACCTAGTCTAAAAGAAAATACAATTCAAACAGGAGAAAATATCTTACGCGTTTCACACTTTCTTAAATAAAAATGTGAATTCAATAAAAAAAAGTTCAAAGAAGAAACGATAAAAACAACAGATTAAAAGGCGCATTCTGTGCTGAGAAAATAAGGTGGCAGCCCAAACACACAAAAGTAATAAATTAAACATAGCGAGGGACAGAATGGATGCATCTGAGAATCAAATTGCTCATCTCGAGGAAAGCCTTATGTGAAAGCAGCTAAAAGACAGAGGCATTAAGAAATAGAAACTAATACAGAATTAAACACCAAAAACTTTTTCCTGATATGAAAAAATCCATAAAATGACAAAGAAAACTCAATTAAGTACAGGAAAACTTGAGTTAGAAAAAGACACTGAGATGAGACATATCCTCATGAAGCTATTAGGATTCAAGTATCAAGAAGGAATTCTTCAGGCACTCGGACAAAAGTAAGTCATTCTCAGGAGAGATGAAATAAAGTTGTCCCGACGTTTCTCTGTGGGATCATCAGATGCCAAAAGAATGTCTACAAACTCCCGAGGAAAGAAAGTGTGTCCCAAGAATTTTAAGTCCAACCAAGTTATCCTTAAACTGAAATGACCGTAAGTAGACATTCCACTCAGCACTTAGGACACTTTTTGAAAAAATGTCTCGCCTATGAAATCTAGCCAACCAAGACCTTGGGACTGCAGCTGCTGTTGTCAGAGGGCTGCTGATGGGTCCACACAGGCTCTGCGACTACAAAACAGAACATAAAGGCTGCCACCCCCGACAAGGTGAAAATAACATATGGCCAGCACTGGAAGAAGATATGTAGGAAAGGGAGAAAGTAGGACTGTGCTGATTTCCTCTACTTATGGTGATTTTTCAGTCAACCCCTTCTAAAGTTAGAATATGCAACAAAAATATATAATAATTCCAATCTTTTCTGTTATGCAAAATCTTTTTTCTCTCTTTTTTAAATTTTAGAGGGATCTCAGTGGTGCCTGCGTGGCTCAGTTGGTTAAGCGTCCAACTCTTGGTTTAGGCTCAGTTTGTGATCTCAGCGTCGTGAGCTCGATACCCCCATGGGGCTCCATGGAGGGCGTGGAGCCTGCTTAAGATTTTCTCTCTCACTCTCCCTCTGCTATCTCCTCTATTCTCTCTCTCTCAAAAAAAAAAAAAAAAAGGTAATTTTAGAGGGATCTCTTCAGAGCTAATAATATCTCTCACAGCAGAGAAATTTTTTTTTTTTAAAGATTTTATTTATTTTTTCGACAGAGAGAAATCACAAGTAGGCAGAGAGGCAAGCAGAGAGAGAGAGAGGAGGAAGCAGGCTCCCTGCAGAGCAGAGAGCCCGACGCGGGGCTTGATCCCAGGACCCTGGGATCATGACCTGAGCTGAAGGCAGAGGCTTAACCCACTGAGCCACCCAGGCGCCCCAGAGAAACATTTTCTTAAAGATCAGCAATTCCTTCAGATTATATCTCAGATTCTGAATTTATACTTTGGATTCCCTTCTATAAATTGAGTCAGGCAAAATGCAATTCTTTAATTAAAAACAGAATATATAGTACATCTCATGCTGTATTAAATTATTTCTAGCTAACAAGTTATTCTTCTATCCGCATATATGCAAATAAAAGTACCTACAATAGAGTTCAATTAATGTTAAAAATGGTTAATTTGGGGAGGCAGGGCCAGGAGTGGATTTTTAAATAATTCATTACTTGTGTTTTATATTATTTAAATACCTCATAATAGCTATATATCACTTTTACAAACTAAAAATCCATTTTTTTAAGATTTTTATTTATTATTTATTTGACAGTGAGACAGAGAGAGAGGGACTACAAGCAGGAGGAGTGGAAGAGGGAGAAGCAGGCTTCCTGCCAAGCAAGGAGCCTGATGTAGGACTCGATCCCAGAACCCTGGGATCAAGACCTGAGGCAAAGGCAGATGCTTAAGGACTGAGCCACCCCGGTGCCCCAAAACCATGTTTAAATTATAACAGCCAAAAAATTTTTTTGTTGAATTTTTAAACAAAACATCAAACACATGGTAACTACACAAAAATTTATAAAACAGAATTCAAGGGAAGAAAACAAGTCATTCATAATGCCATCTTCAGATCCAGCCAGAGTTAATAATCTGCTAATCTTATGATAGAAGGGATTTCATAAAGACGTTAAATATTTAATAAATAGCTCCTTATATTTTTCCAATACTCTAATGTTTGTATTACTTCTATTTAAATATTTAACTCACCAGCGTTTACATACCAGAGTTTTGGTATGCAGTAAGAATTAAATATTTTCTGCTATGTTTGATTAGTTGTCCTAAAGCCATACACTGAACAATCCGTTCTCTGCTGGCTGATTTGAAATGGCACCTATACCTAAGTTCTGACGCAGAATCAAATACTCTCAGGTTTGAGTAGCCTTCCTTATCTCATTTTTTTCAGAGACCCAACACATCCAGAAACCCCTAGAGGACAGAGCAAACTCCCCACTCAGCTTCCTCTGCCCTGGGAAGCCTTTCTCATGGCCCACTGCCCCTTGTCTCTGTTTCTGCTGCAGCTCCTAGCTCCGTTTGAGTGGCTTCTGGTCCGCATGAAGCAGGCACCAGCAACTCATCTCCCTACCCCAGCATCTGGTCGAGTGTCTGGCACACACAGGCCTTCCAAATATCCTCCCCAAGCCCTAAGCCTTCCCACCCACCTGCTCTTGCCTCTGTGCCACAGCGGGCATTTTATTTGTTTTTAAAACATTAACTAGAATTATAACTCATTTCCCTGTCTCAATTCTGGAGACTGGCAAGCCAGTCATTTTACCCTTTTCAACAATATTTCCCTCCTAGTTTCAGTCCTGCTGCTAAATACTTGGAATCCTCGTGACACAAAGGCCAGATCCGGTCCTATATAACCAAGGGAATCCTGCGGCTCCGGGCCTGGAGTCCTACACAGAGAATGGGGCAGACGTGGCTTTAGTGTGAATGCCGCCTTGCTATGCCCAGCACGCTCTGTGATGGGCCTTGAGGATGGGCAGCCACAGATCTCGGGGCCCTTCACCTGGCACGCTCTGGGCAGCTTCCCAGCCAGGGAAATTTATTACCAACTCGTCCTAGAAATGGGCACACCAGCCGCCGGAAGCAATGACTGGACTTAATGTCTAGCACCAACCACGGGTTTAGTCCTTCTCGGAAATCATGCTGAATCAACCGGCAGCCCTCTGATGTCCCAGGGAGAAGACAGGGGGCACAGAAACACCAAAGGAAGGCTGCCAGAAGCGAAGCTCCACATTCACTTCACTACTGGAGCCAGAGGGCACTGCCAACGCTCAGGGGACGGGGCCCACGGGGTCTCTACAAATTGGGAACAGATGACAAGATCGGCCCACCGTCCCTCTGCATGGTGGCACTACTGAAGGCACAACTCCTGAACCTGGAAAAGAAAGACAGTGGGCCTTGTGAGAGCTGTCTTGAAAGATCTGAAAGGCTCTGATATCTAAGAGGAAATGGATTTGTTCAGCCATTTCCTCAGAGACTAGAACTAGACCCGCTGGGTAGAAATCACAGGAAGGCAGATGGCAGGTCCAAATAATGGCGAGCTTCCTACTGGGAGCTGCTCAACTCAGAGCAGCCTGCCCGAGGATGGAGGCACGTGCACGTACATATGCACATGTGCACATACGCACAGACACACACGCTACACAGAGGACCAAATGGTGGGGATGCTCTGGAGGCATTGTGAACTAAGGGAGGACTTGACCAGGTGACCTCCAAAGGCCTCTTTTAAGACTATGGGATTCTGACCATAAAACTTATTTAGATAAGGTTTAGCCTTCAAATGTAAAAATTTTTAAAAGACTGCATTCGTTATCGAGAATTTTGAGAAGTATCAACCACACCCTTACACTGAAGATTACTGGCTTTTAATAATGTGAATTTAATGATAAAAGATTAAAAGTAAGTTGGAGGGGCACCTGGGTGGCTCAGTTGTTTAAAGGTCTGGCTCTTGAATGATCTCAGGGTTGTGAGATGGAGCCCAGCACTGGGCTCCCCCTAGACATGGAGCCTACTTAAGATTCTCTCTTCCTCTCCCTCTGCCCTTCCCCCTACTCTCTCTCTAAAAAAATAAATAAATGAATAAAAATAAGGAACTGCTCCTTCTCCAAGGAACTGCTCCTTCTCCATCTCCTTCTGCCCCTCCCCCCGTTCATGCTCACTCCCTCTCTCTCAAGTAAATAAAATCTTTAAAAAATTAATAAATAAAAATAAGTTTATTTATTTATAAGATATTCCAAGAATTATCATTAGACACATATAACTTTCATCTATCCAATAAGCTGGCTGGGTAAGTTAGCTAATACAGGTGAACCAATATATGAATGTTAGCCATGATAGCTTACAAGAACCAACACTGCACAATAAAGAGCTTCAAGACACGTATGTAAAAACTACATTACTGCCTCTAAAAACCAATCCCTGCTTACTCTTCCTGAGTAGCTACAAAAGTGAGTGCTTGGAAACTTCTGGGTATAATTCTAAATTTAATCTCTAAGGAGATGTAGATTAGAATTAAAAAATGGATTCTGATTCAGTCCATCCCAGGCGCTGCAGGCCCCTGTCCTTCGAGTGTCTGGTAGAAGCCTCACTCCACTGATGAGACAGCGTGGCCCGTGTCGTCCCCAGACCTGAGCCCAGACTCAAGCTAGACCTGGACACAGGAGGCATTAGGCCATCTCTGCAGGTCCTGATGAAAAGCCACCCCTCAGAATTTCCCCTTCCGAAGGTAAACCTGCTTGCCTGGCAGTTTTCTAATTGCTTTAGGGAAAGGCAAATGCAAATGGTAAACTTGACATGAAGAAAACAGCTGAACGAGAAGAGAAAGGGGCCTTTGTATGTGGCCTGGGGAAACGAGGGAGATGGGGAAATGATACCGGTATTTTAAAGCCCGCTCCACAGAGGAAGGTAAGCACGTACAAACAAGCAAACCTGAAATTCTGCATGAACTGCCGGAACTTGTCTACCCGCTTTGCCAGTGGCACGATAACGTTGATGAGTGCGTTGGCCATGTTGAGCTTTTCTTGTTTTACTTTCATGATGGGGCCAAACGGTCGAAACAAGACGAGTCGTCTGAATTCGTGCTTCTGCTCCCCTTTGAATGTGAGCTCATACAGAGTGCCTTTATCCTTCTCTGTGCGGTAGATCCCTGTCAATGGAGACACAGAGACAGTGTTAAAAATTAACTGTGGCTGCTATTTTTTTAATACCTGAGATCTAGCACAAAATGCCTTTTAAAACATTAAGATTAAATCTCTACATGTAATAAGTATGAGAAAGCCCACATTTAAAATCCTCAAAGAAATCAAAATACCATCAATTTAAAAAATCATGTTTTGAAGACTTCCTATAAACACAGAAAGAAGTCTGCAATGTTGGATACAAAACTGTATTTATACTGTACATAGGCATTCAAAAAAGGAGGGTAAGGAAATATGCCAAAATAAAACTGGCTACGATGAGGACTGGGGTTGTGCAGTTGTTTTTTTTTCCTTTTCTGCTGTTATCCACACTTCCTGCAGTACGATTAGATAAATACTATAGTTATTGTACTTACTTAATTGTAAAAGAATGTTAAAATTATCTCTTAGAAATCATAGCTATTTCACATGGACTGACCATAGCGACCCATTCGAGGAATTTCAGGGTGGCCCTCTGGAAGCTTCTGGAAGTGTTAAAGGGCACAACACATAAAATATCCAGCACAGTGGCAGGTGCATGTCTTCTTTAATTCCATATTGTGCTTCCTACCGCTACCTACCTCTGAGAAGCAGCACAGCTCAGGGCTCCCAGGCCAGACTACTTGGGATATCTATTTAAGGCCCCCCAAACTGTGCTCCACCACACATCACCAGTACTGAAATGCCAGTCACGCCTGTCAGGTTGAAGTTGTGACCTGCCAACTCTCAGGATGAGCCTCCCAAGGGCCCAACCCAACAGAAATTTTCTATCAAATAAGCAAACAATTCCCAGTGCCTAGGTTCCCACTGCCTTCCCGACATCGCTGGTGTTGTGGGTGTTCTTTTCTACAGTCAGAAAAAACTCCTGGAAGAATCCAACAAATCTCCAGACAAGCTCCTTCATCTTTTACCTCTGACTCGCCATGTTTTCTATCGCAGCCCTCTTCCCCCCTCCTGATCCCCACGTTAGCTGGCAAGCACCCCTGTCTTGGAGTCGCTTCGAAAGTGCATCTCCAGGGAAGTGCCCGCCCACGGGAGGTACAGTTCTCAGGGCCCCAACACACAGCTCTCCTCTCCTCCTCACGCCTTCTGCTTCCGCGGGCACTCCAGGTCTCCTTCACAAACACCGCCAGGCTCTCTGCTCCACTCTGCACCATACAGGAGCATTTCATGCTCACAGCCTGCTTCACGGCCTCTCTGATCCTCTTCAGAGTTTGGATCTCCTTCAGGAGCCCGAGGGAGGAGTCTGGTACCGTGGATTCACAAGGCAGTCTCGTTCCTCACAGCTGTCCCAAGGGCCTGGCTCTAGAATTGAACTGCACAATGCACTGGCAGCCAGCACGGTGATTCAAGGCCTGAAGCTCATAGTGACAAGGCCTAAGGTCTCTTCTGAAGCCTCCGTCGATCCCTGGGGTAACCACTGCTCAACGGCCCTCAGAACCACGGAAGCCAAAAAAGGTTGTGCTGCATTCATGTTGGAACAGAATTCAGAGTCCCTGCGGGGGCCATTCATGGAAGAAAGAAGAAGGTTCACATCTTAGGAAGCTCAAAGGACTTCATTGAAAATGGGAAGTGGTTCCCTTCGAAGTCTGTTAGTTCTTTCGGGCAATTAGTACTCACTGAGGAAAGAGGCTCTGGGCCACCTCTCACGCTGTCTGCAGCAGCTGGGGACACCACCAACTTCCAGGGTCCAAATAAGGCTGGATGAGGGAGGAAGGAGTCGCTTCTGCTAACAGAGGCCGCACAGCGGAGAGCGGCCTGCCAGGGGCCGGTGGCTGGGCCTTGTCAAGCTCCTGGTGTCTGGTGTCAGCAAGCAAACCTTCTCCACACAGCAGTCAATGTGGGAAAGGCTGCTGACAGTTTCATGGGCAGATAAAAACGCAGGTAGGCCGGAGAGTGTTTTTTTTAACTGAGTCATTTTCTTTCTCAGCACCAGGCTAAGAATCATTAACTTTTAAAAATCTGAATCCACAGATTTGAAAATATAGGTAGAAAGATACACAAACCCACATGAAGAGATGGGCATCTACTCAGAGAAAGCCCAGGGAATGTGAGAATTCTCATCACGGTGATCCTCGCAAGCACGCCAAGGAGCTGCCTCTGTGGTCAGCCCACCGGGACAGGCGGCAGCTGTGGTCGTGGTCTCCAGTCGTGGCATCAATCCCTGCGGAGGCCACTGCGCCCAGACCGAGCTTGCACACCACAACATCGGCTGCTTTTTCACCGTCTTCCACATCCCATGCCTCGAAATAGTTATTGCATCAACATTTTAGCATATTTCCCCATACTCTACCTAATTAAGTTAATTATGTCTTATAAATCTGACTTAGATCTCTTAATGCCACTTCAAGTGAGTTATTTAAAACTCTCTTGCAACTTGTGTCCACTAAAACCCACACCCAGCCATCCACCCACCACACCCGCAGGCACGCCCTCCCACACCTGCACACTGGCACTCTTGGTCTGCTTGTAACACAAAGGATGACACCTCTGCAGATCCCTGTGCCTCCTGGAAATCTGCAGTGGTGTAAACACAAAAAGCCCGAGAGAAAGGGGGCAGGCAGAAGCCTTCTGAGAAAGAAATGGCCTTTCAGCCAATGCTGGCACGCACACCAGCAAATGCAAACCAGCCTTACACGGGATAACATCATTTTTAGGCATTATGTAAATTAAAGATCAAAATAAAAACTCTGGAGCTAGCTTAGATTTTGGGTTAGATACCCTAACTGCCCTCTTTCTCTCCATTGACACTAAGTTTACTTTGAGTTTGGTGTTTCTGCTTCCTGTACAAGCATCCTAGGGTACCTTATGCTACTCTGGGATGACCCACTAGGTGGGGACACCCCCAGGCAGCCAAGATACAGCTCCACGGTCTGCTACAAATGTCTGTTCCTTCACCAGGAGAGGAACTAACCAGACACAGGCCCCCTCTCTACTTCTTGTCATCCACATAGGACCTCAGAAATCAAGAAGCCAAATGTCAAGGAGGTACCACTCCTTACCCTCACACTCTGACTTACCCTCACTCAATGTGAGTGTCCACAGGTTGTGGCCAATGCTGCCTGCTGATTGCAGAAGTGTCTCCACTATCATCCCTGCCTTTCCACATAGAGCCTAGGTCCGGTCTCCCAGCAGAATAACTACAATCCCCTGCCAATCCACGTCCCACTTCCAAGGCCCAATCCATCCTGCAAAGGATATCCTTTGGCCGTTCACCTTCCGACAGCACCATTCTAATCCTGCTTTTCCCTCACCAGCTCCTTAGCATCTAGAGAATAAAGTACCAATACACCACAGCCAGGCCTTCAAGACTCTCCATACTATGGCCTCAATCTATTATTCTAACTGTAGGCCTTGCCCCTGCCTCATAAGAAAGATGGGCTCCAGTCAAGTTGGTTCATAATGTGCATATACAACTACTCCACTTCCTCTTGGGAAACTGGAAACTTCCTGCAATGCGGCAGAAGTGTGGTATGGAAAACGGTTTGACAATTCTTCAAAAAGTTAACCATAGAGTTATCACATGATCTAGCAGTTCTTCCTCTGGGTATGTACCCAAAAGAAATGAGAACAGAGACTCAATCAGATACTTGTACACACATTTTCATACCCACATAGTTTATAATACCAAAAGAAGGCAAAACCCAAAACTCCCAACAAAGGATGAATGGATGAAACATGGTAGATGCATACAATGAACTATTACTCAACCTTGAAAAGGAAGGAAATTCTGACACATGCCACAACAGGAATGAATCTTAAAGATGTGTGCCATGTGAAATAAGCCATACACAAAAGGACAAAAACTGTGTGGTTGCTAGACTAGTCAAATTCCTAAAGACAGAAAGTAGACCACTGACCCCAGATGTGGTTACCTGGGGTGGGGGGGCAAGGAATGGGGAGTTGGTATTTAATGGGCACAGAGTTTCAGCTGACATGATGAAAAAGTTCTAGAAACGGGTAGTGTGATGGTTACACAACAGTGTGAATCGGGTTAATGTCACTGAATTGTACTTAAAAAAATAGTTAAAATGGTAAAATTTATGTTACATATACTTTACCACAATAACTGGTCTCCTCTGAAGAGGCCTTGAACTTTCTCAAGACACACTTCCCCACCAGTCTACCTTTTCCCTTCCAAAGCTGATCTCCTCCTCTGGGAAGATTTCCAAGACGTTCATAACCCAAAGTTGGCCATTCAATCCTCCGGACACTCTGGTTTTCAGAGATTTTAAACTTTTCTTTGCTGAACTATCTTTTCAGCTTGTACGGACTTTGGAGATCCTCTAGTCCAGCCTTGTTACTTTACAGGTGAACACACTGAGTCACAGGTCAGTTGTGATCTGCCGGTGTTCACGAAACTCTTTTTCTTTTCTCTTTTTAAAAGATTTTATTTATTTATTAGAGAGAGAGAGAGAGAGCAGGAGAGGAGAGAGGTGAGTGGAAGAAGCAGACTCCCTGCCGAGCAGGGAGCCCGATGTGGGACTCCATCCCAGGACTCCAGGATCATGACCTGAGCCAAAGGCAGTCACTTAACCAACTGAGCCACCCAGGCGCCCCCACAAAACTCTTTAATGACTGACTGGAACATACCCTGTGCAAGCATTTACTCCCTAGGAGTCACTTCTCATACGCAACATGAACTGCTCAGAGCAGGGCAAAGATGCAGAAGCATGAAAAACAGAAGTCAGAATAAACAACAGAAAGTCAGTCATAAAAACCAGTATGGCTCATTTACCTACAGATAGTCTTCACACCCACCCTTAGAACCTTTCTTTTACGCCGACACACAATTGTAACAGTTATTAAATAACAATCCCCTAGATGCAGAGTCTACAGTGCATTCAAAGTAGTAAATTTTAAGAGGGGATTTTCATGAAAAAAATTTCTAACCACAAAAAAAAGAGTATATGGTAAAGAGAAACCTAGAACAGGCAGAAATGTTGGCAGAGGTACATAGTGGCCTTCT